TATATATGAAAGTTTAAGTATTTGATTTATAAATACATAAGAATTATGTGTTGCATACTTAAATTTTTTCAGAGCTTCGATTTCAAGTAAACTTAGTCAAACTGACCGGCTTTACGAGATGATCACAATGACACTAAAATTGGTCTAATCCTAATCAAATCAAGCCCGAATCAAACCATTAAACAACTTTTGGAAGATTTGAGCAGCTGATTTGAGGGACAAAATGATTTTAAATCTAATGAGCTTATAGTCAAATCAAACGTCTTGATGAGAAGAATCTAATGAACCCGGATCACTCAACTTTGACATTGTTAAGACACTTAGAAATCTAGAAATTATCATCCAATTAAGAGAATTTTTCAGAGTCAGACAATTGAGTGGTCTAGATTCCTTTTTTATTTACAGGGAGGCTATTCCTAGAATTTAAAAATAGAGTCTCACCCGCTTCATGAAAGGGAACCGATACATCAAAATAGATAACCAAGGAGATGAACTAGAGCTGGATTGGAAGAAGAATGAGTCGAATTCCAACATGGTTCTAGACTGAAAACCAGAAGAATGCTTTCTACTCTTACGGTTATCGACCACCATCGATTACCGCTCGTCAGTTGTTGTCGACAACTATCCTTCGCTCCCTTATTTTTGCAACAAAGCTCCTAGCTGAATCACGACGTACGCAACAGAGTAACGAAATAAATTCGAGAGTAACGACCAATGTTACTAGATAATGAAGCACTCTACAGAGCAATGCATCGTCTTAAATACACTGTAATGATGCGCTCTGAATACGAAGCAATGACGCACCCCAATATGACTTAATGATGCACCCCGAAGATGGTGTAATAGTACACCTTGCTTACGGTGCAAAAATGTGTCTCAAATACAATGCAACAATGAACCCAGAATATGAAATAACGTTCCACCCCCAAAGATGATGTAACAATATACTATGAAAATGATGTAACAACACACACTGCATATAGCGCAATTTCGTGCCCTAAATTCGGTGCAACAACACATTCTGAAGGCATCGTAACAACACACCCAACATAAAATGTCATTCTCTGAAGTTGTAAGGTTATGTCATCGCATCTCTTCACTACGACCTATGTGGTCCATAAATCATGCAGCTCCCAACTCTAATCTCTTAGACCTACAAATATAATTGTAACTCACTAATATAGCCTATGTATGTGAATAAGTTTGGCCAAATGCAGCTCCCAACTCTGGTCTCTATGGTCTATATTCAAGTTTGACCAATGTGGTACATAGCTCATGCAGCTCCCAACTCTGGTCTCTATGGTCTATATTTGTTTTCATAGCTCACCATCACGATCTATGTGACCAATTATAACCTACGTGGCTAATAGCTTCTATATCTCTCTAGTACAACCTCTGTGGTCAACTAGTTCTTGTGCCATGGCGCCACATTCTAGCACGTAGGTACCAAAAACGGTATTGGACAGCTTCTAAACGCCCCAAGGAGTTGTAAGGCGACTTTTGGCACTTGGGAAGACACAATTTGGCATTTCAAACTCTTAGAATCTCCAAGAACATCCAGAGGTTATAGATAGGAGTAAGAGATGTAGACTTCTACATTTTCTAGAGAGATTGATGATGGATTTTGAGTGATATCTGTAAGGAATTGTATGAGCATTGCGTGGATCTGCAGGAGACTTGTTGAAGGGATTTTCATCTTTCTTTCAGAGGGAAAAAACTAAGTATTGTGTTCTTCATTATGTTATAATTGTTGTAAACATTTTTCTAATGAATCTGCTTTGATTTAAACAAAGTTTTTTGTTGTGTTTTCTCCATGCTTAGTGAATAGTTTTCCTCACACTTTCTCCTTGTGATGAGATTTAATCATGCATAGGATTAAAATGGTTTAAAGGTTTCTTTTGTTCCAAAATTGTGATGATATTTTCATTGGTTCTTAATGTACTTTGCAAATTGGTCATTTGTAATGTTAAAACCCATTGCAAAACATAAAGACTTGGGAGAGCTATGATTTCACATAACAAGTGAATATCACATTAACCCTTAGGATGGGAGGAGACTTAATCTAGGGGTAGAGTGCAAATAAATAGGGAGATAAGTTTTGATAGACGTAGGAGAGTGCAAATAAATAGGGAGATAATTTTTGATAGACGTAGAATTGGTGATTCTAGGGTGACAGGCAGGAACATTTACCAATTTAATCTATAGTTGGAACTTGAGGCCTGGTTAGTGCTATAGAGAGTGCCCATTGAGTAATTTGGAATGACAGACTAGAACCTACCCAACATAACCAAATTATTTAGGAACTTACTTTAGGTTGTTTAATGTTCTTTATGTACTCGGAAGAGGGTAAAGAATAGGTATGCTCCTATTTAACACAAAACTACATTTTATCTTTTAAATATTTGATTCTTAGGCTTTTATGATCTCATTGCAAGGGAAAATTGATTTTGATTATATAATAACTTTTCAAAATTTAACCAGTCTCCTTAGATTAGGTTTTTATTTAACTTAGTTAACTTAATTTTGGAGTAAAATAGTGAATTCAGGTAAATCAAACTTTTCAAAAAATTTCAAATTAAGGCCTGATAGTAGTATATTAGAATTAGCCTAAGGGATTTCTTAGTTTCCTTCCCTGTGGGATCGATATTGGGATTTTTAAAGAGAGCCCCATATTACTTCAAACAATTTGTATACATTCGTAGAACCTCTGTTGTGTGAAATATAAATCAAATTATAAATTCTATAACATATCCTTTTTGCACACTAGCCGCCTAAAAAATCCCCTATGAAAAGTGGAATACTAACCCAAAAAATCTCCTTTATAATGTACATTTTTTTTCTCATTTTTTTAGCATTTTTAGGCTCAAAATGGCTAAAAATTGGCTAAAAAGGCCAAAACTTTTTTATGCAATGACTTTCTACTTACCTTGTACCGTAAGCTCACTTTATCTCTAATCTTAAAAGCTCTTCACGCTTGTCATAATTTAATTTATATACATAAACTTACCAATGAAAAGCATTTCTCTATCAAATTTGTTGTTAATGGTTTTAACATACATGATCTAGCAACTCATAAAACCATTCTTAATGGTCATGCTAATAAAGGCATATACCCTATTACTGCTCTGTCTACTACCACCAACATCATGACCTAGCACAACAAACTTAGACACCCACACTGCCACAACCAAAGTTCTCAAAAATATCTCCAATGTCAACCCTCATCTCAAAATACCCACAATACATCAACTTCTTAAGAAATTACAAAAACAAAAATCATAAATTATATTTTTCTTCCAACCCTACTAAATATGCATTTTTAGAAATTTTGCATATAGATGTGTAGGGGCCATTCTCTCAGCCCTCAATTGATGGAAATAAATATTATGTCACTTTTATAGTTGTATATTTAAGATTTTGTTGGTATTTTCCAATGTGTCATAAATCTGAAGTACCTTTTTGTTTTATAAATCTATATAAGCAAATTCTTACACATCATAACAAAAATATCAAATATTTACCATCAGATGGGAGAGGAGAATGTATGTCAACTCACCTACAAATATATTTTCAAACACATGGTATCCAACAACAACTTAGCTGCCCTTATACAACTGAATAACATGGAGTTGATGAAAAGAAAAACATACACATTATAGAACCTTACTTAATATTGCAAACTTACTACATATTTTTTGGATGGATGTTATCCATGCAACAACCTATCCTTTCAATAGGCTTCCCTCTCCCAAAACTTATAAAACTTCCCCATTTCAAATTTTATTCAAAACAAACATAAATATCACCACATCAGTACATTTGAATGTGCTTGTTTCTCATGGCAACAACACCACACCCACAATAAATTCAATCCCAAAGTGCCTCTACGCATTCTTTTTAGATGTAGGGTGTGTTTGGGACAACGGTGAATGATTATAGTGTAAAGATTGATTTATATAATAGAGATTTTTCTCATGAGCTTAGCTCATGAAGGATTGTTACACTAATGGTTAATATATATTGTGTTTAGTATTTGATAGTGTTTGAGTGGTAATGCTAAGTGCAATAGTTATTATTTAAGGAGATTTTTTTTTTTTAACCGGAAAATCTCATATAACATAGGTTTAATAATGAAGTTGATTTCATAGCTCAAAACTAGTTACTCTTAGGTTCTAACATAGAGGCAACTTAAACAACTTTTCAAAATAATTTGATTAT